GGATATTGTATGATTTAGGGCTGTAATGATCAGTTTATTTTTATGTTTTAATCAAGAAATCTATTTTAGTTTATCAAATAAATAATTTAAAAGACAACCTGTCTTTCTTTCACCCGACACGGGTGTCCGATGTTACACAGCCAACCCACATGCGTGTTTGAATATATATGAATTTACAAAATTAAATAAATTTAACCCCCATTTTGCTAAACAGTTACATTGGCTGTAGAAATGTAAATTTTGGCCATATAGACTTTTTCCTCCTTCATAAAATTTCTTATTTCTTGTAAAATGCCTTTTTTTTACCATTTATGAACAAAATATGTACTTATATTATCTATGTTTTATAAAAATGACCAAACAAAAGTGTTTTTTTTTTTTTTTTTTTTTTACCAAATAGCCAATAAGTTGGCTCGGGGGTGCAGATAATCAAAAGCACTGTGGAAACAGAGGTTGTTTAAAGTGCCACTTGTTTTTATAATAAAACCTGTTGTGTGAGTCTCTTGTATACAGAAGAAAGGATACCAACACCATAAAATACATTTCACCAAACAATTACGGCCCACCAGCGGCCGAGCGGTAAAGTCGCTGAACACTGATAGTTCGGTCCGAGGTTCAAATCCCGCGAACGGGCTAGCTGCATGGGCGTTTTCGTGGTTTTCCCCATGTGTAACGTGTATACGAGCCAGTTTCCCTTAGAAAGTCCTCCACGAAAGGCATCCCTCCCCTTAGGCAGATAGCCCTAGTGTGCTTTGCCATAATTAAATACACCACACCACCACCAAACAATTACATAATTTTAATCATTAATTATTGCTTTTGTTGTTACAAGTAATTAGATCACATGCTGGTTTCATAGCACTGACCAAAAAACAGAATGTTCTCTAAAATGCCCAGAATGCACTTTGCGACGGCTAAAGAAATCTCGCTCTGGATAGTGCTGCCATTTATTGGGGGAAAAAAGAACAATTCCCCACAGTACTCCCCCGTAAGTACCAAAGGTACGAAGAGTTAGAGAGAGTCACCGAGGATTGAAACAAACCCTCCGTCCAAAGCAGGTGACTGTTGGTGCTGTAACATTGCTTGAGCTTCCAGAAGGCTTAGAGTCAGAAGAAGGCATAAGACTTGGGTGATACAATTAAAGCTGGATGGGTGATGGCTGGAGGAACAGCTCTAGGTGGATACAGGCAGTCATCAGCCAGAAGGAATGTAGTCTTAAAGCTATCAACACTAATTGTAGACATCCTATTGTGTATGCAGATGCTGAAATACTTTGCTGTTCAAGAAAGCACATGATTAGGGCGCGTCAGGAAAGGTGCTTGGAGTAGGCTTGCCGGACGCCATCTGTTTCGATGGAGGAAGACATGAGTGCAGGTTTGAAGGTCCAGATGGACGAATGCTCTTGATACATCACGTAATGATGCTGGTTTAGAAGATAACTTTTTTATCGTTTCACATAATTGTCTGAGAAATTCTGATGGTTCAACTTTGTTGGTTGCCACAGAATCTGAGAAATTCACGGATAGTGAAAGAGGGGAACCATATATCACTTCTGTCACTGCATATTGAAGATCAGACTTAAAGGCAGACCTAAGTCCAAGAAGAACTACAGGCAAGGATTCTGTCCAACAAGGATTGTTGTGGTATTTGAGGGGCTGCTTAAGGGAGCGATGGAAGTGCTCGACAAGTTTGTTACTGGGAGGATGATATGGAGACGAGCGGGTGCACTTTGTTTCAAGTAGAGATGTCAGCAAAAGAAGAAGCAATGACTCAAATTATCATCTTTGGTCCGTTGTGATGATGGAGGGTACCCTGAAATGCGTAATCCAGCATTCAATAAATTTACAGGCAAAAGTCTGGGCACAAATGTCAGCCAAAGGAATGGTTTTTGGCCAACATGCAAACCGGTCAATGAAAGTAACCAGGTAAACTGCACCATTGGAAGGTGGAGGAGGGCCAACCAAGTTAAAATGTACATAGTTAAACTGTTGTATTGTGGGCAGAAACATTTGAAGTGAACTCTTAGTATGTCGAGAAATCTTTGATTGTTAGCAATGGATACAGGCACAAGACCATAAGGTCCTTGGCAATTGATGACCAAACAAAATAATAAGCAGAATAAGTTTTTTAGTAGCATGGATGCTTGGTTGTGAGAGGTTGTGCAGTGAGTTAAAGATCTGTCTGCAAAATTTAGGCATAACATAAGGTCTGATCTGCTTATCACTTGTGTTACAGAATATTTGTAAATCAGGGGTGAATTTTAGTGGTTGCAGCATCAGTGAATAATTAACTTGAGTTAAACATCTATTGTTTGGTCAACTGCAATAGCTACAAAATCAATGGGACCTTCGGCGTCATTTCCCTGGATGTAGGACAAAGTATCTGCGATAACATTATCTGTCCCAGCAACATGCTGTACGTGTGTCAAGAACAATATCAGCAATATCAGTTGTACAATATCAGCTTTGCATATGGCAAATAATTTGTGGTCATGCATATTGTATCGCTGCTCCACCGGGGAAAGTTTTCATGAAAAAAGTGCAAATGGTTGGTCACCTTTGTTGCTGATACCATTTAAAACGGATCCGATGGTGATGTCAGATGCAACGACCATCAGAGGCAGTTTCAGGACAGGTGCGTGGAAGCTGAGAGTTGTGGATTGTACAATATCAGCTTTGCATTTTTCAAACAATGCAGAAATCTTTTCAGTCCAAAAGCAACCACTTTTAAAGTGAAAAATGTCCAATTTACCAACATGTGAAAATATATTGGATATCTCGTCCAAAGTTAAATTGTTTCCAAAACTGACCTCAGAATATTTCTTTCCTCCTTTCACCAACTGTGAAGACCCATTTAGAAGTTCTATTCAAATCAACTTGACCGCATACTTGTCACACTCAAGGACACTGAATAATGACCCCTAACAAGGACCATAAAATGCAAAGCTTTGTGTATCGCTTAGATCAGATATTTTTCACTTTGACCTCACTTATTGCACCTAACCCTAAATCTATTGCAATTTATTACAATGTAAATGCAATTTTAAAATGTTAAGTAAAAGCTTTGTTCATTGAAGTAAAAATAAGCACATTAGCTAATATTGCATATTTGAAATATCCTTAATTTTGTTTTATTATTTTCTTGATGCACTGTAACAAAAATAATGATTGAATTATTTCCAGCATATTTTTATATATTTAATTTAAAATTTTATTATTATTTATTATTTATTTTTTCAAGTTTATTATACTCTTCCTACAGCAAAGAAAGTTTTAGTTATGTGAAGTGCTAATTTCAAAGAGTAAGAAGGTAGTAACTGTTTGTAGTTGTTTTTGTTGAATAAGTTACTAAAGGCGTGAATATTCTATTTTTAAATTGGACTAAAATTCAACATTATTCACAATAAAATTAGGCAGCAAACTTCTTTCCAATTTTAATTTTTTAAATTGTAATTCTTGCAACTATCTTTATAATTCCATTAATATTTCTTTTTTCTTAATCTAGCCTCATAAAAGTAAATGGCTTTAAGAATTGTATCTTCTGAGACTATCTTCATAAAACTGTTTCAGTGTTCTTAAAATTAGATTAGGGTAACTTAAATACTTATCTAAATTTATTTATAAGGTTTTTGTATATGTAGGTTAAAAATACACTCACATTATACCTTGCATATTTTAAATAACATAATTATACATAAGACTGAGTCTTCCACTTTGTATTTAGAATTTAAATACATTAAATATTTAAATACTAAATTTTTAACTGTTAGCATAAATATGAAAGTGTTAAATAAATAACATAAACAACATATAATGTGAAAAAAATATAAAAAAATATAAATTGAAAAATACCAAAACTTTATTCTTATTTGCATATTTCTATACAACTTTACAATGAAGGTATACTTAGCTCTACTTAAAGAAATTAAAATTGCATTTGAAAAATAAATTTTTGTACAGTAAAGATATATTATGAAGTTTGCTTATGAAATATGATTGCTAATTATTTTTAAGATTTCTACAATGTAAATGAAAATTCTATAAAATTTTATATCAGCATTTTTTACAAATTAAGGTATACCAACCATTTCTACCACTTGTTAATTCTTTACTCCAGCAGTTTATAAATCTGTAAAAAATGACAGACACCTATTCTCAAACCAAAAAAATGCATATTGTCTAAAATTTTTTGTGCAAAATACATTTAGGAAGAAACTAAAAGAAACAATAGAGCAATCCAAATATCCTATATTACTTTTTTTGGGGAGGGGGTAAATTCTGAGACTTTTAATACTGTAACTTTCTCAATCAATGAGATTTTAAAAAATATAAAAGTATCGACTGAAAATAAAATAATAATTAATAACTCAAGTTTTGAAAAATGAATTTCGAAAATTTCAGTTCAACAATGTCATTTATAACTGGCACAACCAAATCATAAGGAAATGTAGAGCAAATAATATCTCCATCTGTGCATGTAAGGTGGTAAAATAAAAGCATGTATTAGGTATAACATTTCAATTCAATTCATAGTTCAGAGAATAAAGTTCAGATTATATTCTCAGGGAATCATAAGAATTGAAAAGATATTTAAAGCCTTCAAACCTTTGTGTTCGTTAATGGAAGGGAGAAATTTGTTGTGGATCTCACAAGATGTGTTGAGGGGATATCCACTCAGAGAAAGTGATCCCCCATCCTTTACTTTCCTGATAGTACAATCACGCTGTGATCCTAATGCAACAACGCGGAGGAGCAAGTGGGACCAAATAAGCCATCAATCACCTCTTTTCATTTTTGACTCATTCTGAGTTTGAGGGGGGCTGGAAAAACATGATGTGACAAATGCATCTCAGGGGTTACCTTCAGCCCACATTTCACCCCGATGAGAATCTGCCATTACTAGCAGATGAAGATGCATTTAATGTGAATAAGTCTTTCTCAAGGCAAACGGTGAAATGCTTAAAGATTCACATACGCTTATAATCAGATCGGTTGCATGAGGTTCTTGTGTACAGAAGAAAGGATGCTACTTCAGTAACAGAAAAAAAAAAAAAAAATTTTTTTTACTTTCAATATGAATGATATCACTATGATATTACTTTCAATATGATAGAAGAATGTATCTGCAACTTTTCATCATCCAGTAGGTGTCAAATAGTGTAATCCACTTGGATTCTTTTTTAAAAAGGAAGAGGAAATCAGGATTCAAACCAGAAGAGAAACAACTTAAAATCTTCGAGGGAAATATACTAGATCACTATTTATTCTTTTTGCTTATCACAATGACATCATTGCATGACTATTATTCACAAGAAATAAACGGATTATCACATTGACCTCTTCGACCCTCAATTTTTGACTGCAAAGTACTAGCAAGATTTTAGGTCTCGACATTTCCCTAATTGACGTGTTATTTATAGATTTAAAAAAAAAAAATTAAGAAAATACCAATTTTATATCCAGGTGGATCAGCAAATACATGAAATGGAATGTCAAGTGGGATTTCTCCTCTGCACAGTTTCTCAGCTATTTGTGCTTCATAACCTTTTTTCTGACCGGTATCACTGGCAGAAATAATGACAGCATCCCAAAATAATTCTTGAGAATCAACTGATCTTCCTGTGATGCAGGGGAAAAACTGTTAGTTTATTACAAGGCATTTTATACTCAGTAGAGATAAATAATTTATACAGCAAAGCATGCTTTAATGAATGATGAAAAGGTGTTTTCCAAACAATTAGAGAATATAAGGATTTTATCTTAGGCTAATTTATTCACTCTTGTATTTATGTGAAAGAAGCAATGCATAGTAAAAGTTCTAAAATGCCCTTTACATTAAAAAATATTGATCTGAAAAATTTATTATTTTGCCTCATTAGTTATTCACTAAATATATCTGCCACCCCAGTCAAGGATACATCAGATAATTTAATTCACATTAAAAAAAAAATGAATCCAAAAAACATATTTGATAAAACCAGTAATATAGCATTTCCATCAAAATAAATGAAAAATATTTATTTATATATAATTTATACACAACTGATGAACACACTTTTTAATGTAAGCCTATTTTGCTTATCCATACACCCAGTTCTCATTAAGTGAAAAAAAGCTAAAAGTTTAAAATCTTTAACAACAATCTTTTGGCAGCAGACTGATTATATATATATATTTTTTATTTTTAGAAGCCTCCAGTTAAAAGCTCACTTATTTTCACTTCCCCCCCCCACATGATTACCTGAAGAATTGTTATGCACATAATTTCAGACTTTGCTGTACACTGAAAATTTGGTGTCTTCAGATAAGATGGTTGTGCTATATGTACCTAATTTATTATTTCATTCATTTGTACTCATTTAAAATATTAACTATTGCACTATACTATGTTTATCTTTAAGCTACTATAAAAAAGTTCATCATAAGAAATATATTTTATTCTGAATGCAGATGATAACATACAAAAGAAATATAGTCTGAAGTTTTGCAATCAACTAATAAGATATTAGAAACTTATTTTATTTATAATATTCATGGTACAAAATAACATTTATTAAAAACGATTAATTAACATTGCACTGAGCGACACATTTTTATAATACAAAAGATAATGATAGATACAATTATAAATGATTTCTTTAAAATTCTTTTTAAGAGCTCCATTTTTAAGTATATAAAAAATCATGGAGCAGCTCCAAGAGATTTTCTGCTATGATTTATTATGACCATCGACTAGGTTAAACACAAAAAAAGCTATTAATAAAAAAAAATCGATTTTTGTGAAGAAGTACCATCCCAAGCAAGAATTTATAAAAAGTTTAAAGAATTTCATGAAGATTAGCAAGAACCAATATAATACCAGAAAACATTGATGTTATGTAACGAAGGACCACTTCAAATCATCATATAATATATGATGAAGCCAAGGCATCTTTGAACTTTTCAAGCAACCAAGTGCATTTAATTTTACTTGAATCTTTAAAAGTGCAAAGAATATATTCACACTGAATTTCACAAAATTCAAGCTTAAAAAGATGCTCATGTTAAATGATGCAAGGAAAATCTCAAAAGATTAAAGTCTGTTATCTCAAAAAATGCCTTAACTATGTAACAAGAGACAAAATATAAACTGAATTCTATGAAACAAATATAAATAAAAAATATAGTATGGATGCATAAAAATGAACAAAACTTACAAAAGTAGCTTATACATGTATAAAGTGCTTCAAAAAATATAATTGCTTTTTTTTTTTTTTTTTTTTACTTAAATGTGACTAGAAGCATGGCTTTGCAAAGTCCTAAAATACTGAGTAATATACTGCAATTTGTTTCCTACAGATATTTCCTGAATTCTATCCCAAAAATGCAAAATACTCATCTTGATGACACTGCATGTAAAATTATCAATTATTTGATAACTACCATTTTTCCAAACTACTTATGTTTTCTTTCATTTCTTTCAAGATGTTTAAAGAAATATGGGAAAAAATTCAGTCTTAGGATATGTATAATTCTGGAAAACAGAAATATATCTTTTGAAAAGATTGAAAGAAAAATTTCCAAAAAGATTTCACTAGGAGTTTTCAGATATAAGTACAGATTCAGTTTACAAAAGTCAGTTTGCTTCTACAAAAAATACTAGCATAAACTTATAAAAAGTCTGTTTGGCAAATCATAATTTTCTACATTTAAGACAGACACTAAACTCATATTGTAGTGCCCAATATTAAGGAACATTATCTATGCATCACTGATTTGTCCACAAGGCCACATATAGGGTTTTTCAAGACTAATAGAAGAAACTCTAAAAGTTGACAGAACATAACAAAACAAACACTTTTTATCATAGAATGTATTTCAAATTATTAAGCAATTAATGGCTAGATGAACTTTTTTTTTCCCCACATGCATCATCTCTTGCATCACAAAGGCAGATAATGGTGTCTACTTCCCTTAATTATAACCAATTCATTCCAGTTTGGCAACTGACAGAACGAGACATTAACACAATGGTACAGTCTGGAATATTAATCATGGCACGATGCATATGGCTCAGTGAAGTCATTGAAGACACATGATCTATAAGGCTGGACTTGAAAACCTCTCTGAGGAGATAACAGAAAAAGTGAATAAATTAGTAAGACCATTGCCTCTTAACCAAAGGTTAATTCGATTGCTTTGACAAATGAAAAATAGAAGTACTGAATATAAAAATCATCAGTTGAAAATCAAAGCTACGCCTCTAGAAATACAAAAATAATGATGGTGCTTTGCAAAATTCCCTATTATTATATATGTTTCTGAAAGTGCTCATATCTTAGTACTGCAAAAAACAGTCTGTGGGAGGGGAGGGAAGAAAAATACTAACTGTTTAATATGCTAACATTCTATAATTAAAAGTATTTGTTTAGTGTTCTCTACCATGCCTTAAAACTTATTCCATTAGTTTTTTAAATGTCTTACATAAAGTTATGGCATTTGTAGAAACTTCTTTAATTATTCCCATCCTGAAAGTGACTAATTTTGATAATTTAAATTATATTTTAATATGATCTAACAGTTAGAATTTATAAGCTAAATTATATGAAGTCTATGCCATAGAAAGAGGTAAAATTTGGAATTTTAAATACAACACTTTCAAAAGTGTACCACAATTTCAAGAGTTGCAACAAAATTTTCAAGTTACAATAAGTCTGTGGCCGTAAACAATATGGATGAAGATGACCAGTACTTGAGGACAAGAATCATTTCACATAATAATGATACAACACTACCTAAACTGATATCTGAATTTAATGCTTAAGGCCCCAGAAAACACACACACATGAGTCTTTATTTTCTCAGTTCTAGAAGGCAACACCCAACTACAATACCTCTGATAAATGTACTGTAAAAAGCTATATTTGGCAATTTGGACAGTGAATCTTAATGACAAGAAATAAGTTACCGGGTCTGATCAATCACATTTCCAGTTCCCACAAGCCCATGAACACATACATCCTAAATGCCAACAGGAGATTAGTATAGGCTGTGATAGCTCCATAATGGTATGCAATTTGTTTATCTCACATTCAGTGAACTCCTGGTACAGCTGAAACATGGGTAAATGTTATCATACACCTTTTCTGATAAAAAAAAACTCTCATTCATACTCCACACTCATTTTGATAGGTTTGACATCTTGTAACTAGACTATGAGTTGCTGAAGATGTCTACACATACCAAATTATAGTTATAAAAACACTGAACTCAGTTTATAGCTGTTGCATAGCTTGAAGTTAGATGGAGCAATTTGCTCTGGTTGACACACTTTTGGAGGCAGCATTTTTCATATAAGACTAGTTATATAGTCATATGAACCTTCAGTGCAAAAGGAAAGATTGGAATTTATTGAATTATAGCAAACCTCAATGATAACATATTAATAAAAATTAGAATTATATTCTACATAAAGAACATATACAAGCTCAGGTACTAAAAAGCTACAAGTTCAAGTGCTGATGTTGAGAAAGTACCAGCCCTTTTACAAACAATATTAATACAGTGTGACTTAACTGCACAGCTAAAATTCAGTAAAGTAGGTATCTCTGAATTTTAGAAATACCTGCCCACATGATTTCAGAAAGCCATAAATTTTGTACATCCTTTCCATGTTTGGTAGTATTTATGAGTGTGAATGGTTTTTCTCCCAGATGGAAGTAAACAAATACCCAATGATATCTAATTAACCCGTAAATGACCACACTATCTTTCACCTGAAAGAAATTAATAAAAATCAGTTTTTCAATGTATTAGAGTCTAATTAAGAGAAAAAATGTAATTGAAAAAAAAAATCATTTTTACTGAAGATAAAAAAGGTTATAAAAATACAACGGCAGTCAAAACTGATTATTTTGGGGATATATGGAAATCTTTGAAGCATTTGCTACACAAAGGCACTTCACATTTATTACAAGCAGTTATCGTTTGACTACTACAGTATTTCCCTCTTTAACTTTTGTTTGATGAATTTTTCTCACTAATCTGATTTGTGGGATCCTTTCTCATTCTGCTTGATGCTAAATTATCAAAAAACAGATGATCAGCCAAAACAATAAGTATACGAAAATGACGGCTGCGAATTTTCGGAATATTCTTCCCTTGTTTTCAGCAATGTCCGTGCAACACTTCTTTGAAAACCTGGGAGGGAAATTTTGAATCTTATAAAGTTTCCATGCATTTGATTTAGTTACATCAATAAAGTTCATAAAAACTGGCTCCTACAATTTCTTAATATTTTACTTGCGTTCTATATACATCACAATAAAATTATTCAGAAGGTCCACTCCATACATACATTTGTTGTAATTTCTGATGATTTTAGGTTGCTTTACAATACAGATTTGTTTCCTTTCCTTAAATACCTCTTGGACACTGAAAGTGGATAAAATTATATCAAAGTTAGTTTTCATACCTGTGATGGAACTATCATTCCATTGAATTATTATGATACCATGTTCTTTATCAAATGCAGTGTCTTATATTCTACATTCTTCTTTTTCCATTTTATTTACAGGTATTCCATTTTGCTTACAGGACAATTTCTTAATGTGTATTCAAGAACTGTACTAACCAAATTAAATTTCAGCTCATTCAATTCCGATAACACTTGTGGCATAAAAAAGATGTCAAAATATGTGTAATGATTAGAAATAACTTCCACCACACTTAAAAGATCTGTTACAGCATTTCCAGCTAGGCAGTCAGTATTTATCTTTGAAGATTTTCCTGAATATATATCAAACTGATATAGTACTCTTCACAGGAACACAAAAACCAAACATTTTAATCATAACAAATGCGTTTTCCTTTGAGAAACATATTTGTATAAATGTCTACCAAAATAAGGTATCACTTGCTCATCTGTAGAAAGATGTGCTGAAAAACTGTAATTGAAAAAAAAAAAAAAAAAAATCATTTTTACTGAAGATAAAAAAGGTTACAAAATTACAACGGCAGTCAAAACTGATTATTTTGGGGATATATGGAAATCTTTGAAGCATTTGCTAAAAAACCTCATGCTACGTGAAACTGGCATTAAAAATATTTAAGTAGAGACAAACCTAAGCCAGTTTTTCAGTTTTATCTCATGCAATGCTTATCAGCTAAATGCAATTTCTGTTTGATATTAGTATAAGTAGAATGTGTCACTACTGTGCATACTAATGGATTATTTGATGACAGGCATCACTGAATGTAAAGGAGAACAATTTTTCCAAGCAGTTTCTTTTTTTTTAGACGATTCAGAATTTAAAACTTTTTGATAAATTTAATATATTTTAAAATTTTTTAGGTGAAAAAACCTCTATCTCATCTGATACATCTTTCCTCATTGGCAAATGGCAAATTATCATCTAACAGATCATCAGTGTATTTCTTATCGGTCACAAAGTCTGGTTCTGGGGGCATCACTACTAAATCTATTTCACCTCAACCATCATCACCTACTGTTCTAAAACATCACATTTATCTACCTCCATAAATTTCAATGCTTAATTGAATGTTAAAACTTTTTTTTTAAGAACATTTGTTTTGTGGAACTGCAAAAGAAGATACCACTGTCTATGAAAATCTATGTATATTTATAATAAAGATACTTCTTTTAACTAACATTGCATTTTTGAAACATTTTAAAAATTGCATACTTATACCAAGAAAGACAAAGTAATAACCTTAGCTTTTAACACCATTATACAGTCTAATGTTTCTAAAAGATTGGCATGCCTTCATAAAACTATTTATTGGTTGTGCCCTCTGAGATCTACTCAAAATTAAAAGGAAAAAATTTCACAAAAAATGTACCATAATTCGTTTTTATAAAAAATTTTATTTGTAAGAGAAATTTTCTTTTTGGTCTAGAAACAATGCAGTTTTATTTACAATATTAAAAAAAATATTTAAGAAAAAACATATTACAAAGACAAAAACATTGTTTTGATTAATGTTGCAAAAACAAAACATCAGTTGTTAATGAGTTAACAGGCATTCTTTTGGCTTCTGAAAACTGCTAGTGTGAGCAACATATCTCCAAACATCTAAAAGCTATTGCAGAAAATAGATGCTAGGTGTTAGGAAAGAAACAATAGGTATCCATCTACTACAAAGATTTCCTGAAGTTCATTCAATGTTTTAAAGAACTAAAGTCTTAAGTATGATTTTATGTATTTTCTCACATTTTAAATTCATCATTAAGTGTGAAAATTTTTACTCATATTAGAAAAGTCAAGATTAAAAAAATATTGATATGATGAACTAAAACTGAAAAATATATAAAAATTTATGTCAACACTTAACACTGCATCACAAATTCTAAACATATGCTGTTATTCAACTTTTAAAAATTTTGTGATTCTATTGGGTCATTCCGAGTGACGTAGGTGGGGGGGGGGGGGGAAGATGCTTTATAATAAAGATAAAAAGATAAAAAAAGGGGGGGTAGTGAAAGTGATCACAAGAGCAGAGTGGTAGACTGCAAGCTCAGTGACATAATAAAAAACCTCAATAAACCCTTTTGGGAGACCATTAAAATTTTAAACTTTTCAGACTTTTTTATTAATTTTTTTCTTTTTTCCCCTGACCTCGGTATCCATAAAAAAGAATATGATTTTAAAATTAGTTCTTAAAATTAGTAAAAAAAATTTTCTTAAAATTAGCATATTTTTTTAATTAATACAAAATTACCTCTTATTTTATTATAATTGTTTAAAAGTTCTTTCATGTATTGACAAATAAGGGACTCCTTCTCTTCATTATCCATTGTTTTCACCCAGAACTAGAAAAAAACTAAAAAAGAAATATAAATTTAGGGATGAATACTTCATTTCAATAACTGAAATTTGTTTTTACTTTTTCAATACAATACGTTTTAATAGAAAAATAAATTTCAATTTTAGAAACTCATAAAATTTAATTTCACAGATTGGACCTAAATAATGATAAAATTTTACAGAACCTAACGTAAATGATTTGCATTATAAGCACTGACATCAATAATATAAATTAGAAATTCTAGAAAGTCATGACTAGAAAAGAAGATATAATGCATATTTTTAATATTTACGTTTTCCTTAATTTAACAAGATAAATAAATAAGTATTCATGGACAATTAAAATGCACTGAAAAATACATTTTAATTACACAATGCAAATACTTCTTTACCTTTAAGGATAAAGATAGTTCTAAATTAAGATATCTGATATGGATACCATGACTTCCTTGTATGCTTATTAAGTTACATACATTTTTTGTTGCACTTCACTTGAACTTATGTCCTCAAATTACACTAATTTAATCAGCCGATTCCTCCAGGCATGTTGAAAATGACATCAAAATCTGCCAATTTTGAAATTAAATATCCTGGTCAATTTTTGACATTTTAGCTTTCATTGTCTTCTTTTAGCCACTTGTTTAACACATATATTACCGGATCAGATACGACTTATGCTTTACTGAGGCCACACCAGTCAACCCAAACGTGGTTAACAATACATCTGTATTTTAAACTCAAATATATTTATGTTGGTCATTTTTCTCATAACAATAGTACAGCAGAATCTCTCTTAGCAATAGGACCTCTCTAATGCCAGATAAGATACTTTTTTCAGATAACTGAATATATATTTCTATAACTTACCTGTTTGTTTCGTCAAGCCATCTTTAGAAATGCGAAGTAAGTTGGTCATACTTTTTTATCTGTCACTGTTATTAAATAAATAATATTGATAATTGAACAGCTTATTTAAATAAAAACACATACATGTAATTTTATATGTCAGAAAAAAAAATTTAAATATAGTCATCATCTTGAAAGAATGTAAAAGGAACAATATTGTCTACATCCATCTAAGCCTGCACTTCCTCTTTACTAACACAAATCTTTCTTGATCCATGACATGGACATCAAACTTGTTTTAAAACTAAGCCAATCTTTATCACTCAACTTGTTATCTATGAGTATGATCAAAGGCCACAATATACACCAACAGCAAATAATGTTTTTTCCAGGAAAGAACCAAAGAAAATATTATTACGTCATGAACGTTCAGTTCATGACGTTACTTTCAAAGTTCACATAACAATGCATAAAAAGGGATCGATAGTTCCTTTTTATATTCTGAATAATTATTAATTGGATAAGTTAGCAGCAAAAACATGACACAAATGTTTTTTTAAGTCTTCAGATTGTTAGCCTATTATACACTTTTTTTCTTGTGGGCCTAAATTTTGGTTTTAAACTTCGACTTTCAAAGGTACTGTTATTTTAAAATTGCTTGTTAATTGGGCACCAGTTATGAGGGATTTTACTATATCAAATATGACTTATGCAGTGCAGTGTATTGTTTGTTAGTGTGGCACTATATCTGTTAATCTTATATTATCTTTCACATGTTCTGCATGCAACAGGTTTCTAAAATTTCGCAGAGTATGAAATCATACATCAGTCATACAATCATACATCATCATCAAACATACAGTACAGAAGTTTGTTACATAAGAGCCACTAATGTAAAATTAAAAAGGCAAGCTATGCAAGTAACAGGCAAGCACATTATTTGTCCAAAAAATAATTTAAATAAATTGCTCACCTGGTGCTAATACCATACTACAAGGAGCAGAGATGCCTTTGTCCAGAACAGAAAGATGTCTTTATGTGCTGAATGCAACATTAAAAAGTGCAAATAGATGATAAGAAAAGGACTGGATTAGACTGCATTATGGCATAGCTCACAAGGGCTATCAACTTAAAGGAAAGGATGGTTCTGAAAGGACTTTTCAGGTTTGTATTCACTTACATGAGAAATACCATGAAAATACCTATACAGACAGCCTATTCCCCCCAGATTTGAACCTATCTTAAACTATCCATGTTCAGAAATTTTACTGTTGAGCCATTGATGGGCAGGTGAGAATAGTAAATGACATTTACAACTTCAGACTTAATATATAATCTTTTCACTACCACCTCAAAATGGTAACAGATGTTAAATTTTGCCAAGAAATGGATATGATAGATACAACTGCCATAGATTGTAACAACTTTCTTTTGAAAAGTCTGCATTACTGAATTAAAGGAAGAATTAAATCAAAGCCTAATTTGCAAAGCTACAGGCCTGGAACAAAAGAGTTATGGGGTTCTCCTTTCTAATTTTTTTTTTTTTTTTACATAATAAAGATCACTGACACTAATTACATTTCATGTAAAGAATATTTCACATCTTTATTCATATAAAGCACTTCATGAAATAATCTTATTACTCAATATTTTTCATTCAAAATTATTTAAACAAAAAAAAAAAAAAAAAAAAAAAAAGGTACATTTTGTTTTCATGGTTTCAGTTCTGTATGTGTTGCATAAAATATAAATTTATGCATTTAAACAAAGATCTTGTTTTTTCTGAAAGGAATCGAATACAAGGAAACAGCCTACAGAATTATTACTGATTTTACTGAAAAAAAAAAAAACCCTTTTGAGTTCTACAAGCATAACCAAATCAAAATTGTTTATCAAGTTCAATGATCAAGTATGTGAGTAAAATAAAAAATCAGTGTCTTCCAAATGCAGAAGAAATAATTTTTTCTAATGTGCCATTCTGCAGTATTTATGCATTAAAACTTCAAATGGCATGTATATTTTTACATATTTTAAAGGAAACTTCCTTGAAAGTGGAAGCCCAGAGCAGATGTCTCATGTACCCCTGTGGAAATCAGATCTTAACCAAACTATGTGTTTTCCTGACCACTACCAAAGTTATCTTAATGCCAATTAAAGTCTGCAGTAGTGGATTATAAATAAGTGTCTATCTATAAAAATATTCGCCCCCCCTTTATTCAGATATTTAAAATAAATATCCAGGAAAATGATTTTTGATATTTTGCTTTGCTAAATTATTAAAAAAAAAAACTGCAGGCAACAACAAAGTATAATCCAGCAAATAACATGTATTTATTTCTTTCAGATAATGGCTTTTGGCTTTAATATTTTTTTAATTTTTACAAACTAATATGAGAAATCCATTTTATTTAAATATGGCTAATACTATTTATGAGAAAGCACATAACTATAAACTGCCATAGGAGTACAGCAGGATTACCTACTCAATAAGAAACTATGCTGGAAATTAAACCAATTTTTAAAAACATCAGATTAATGAACATTTCTATCACTTGTAAAAATAATAACAGGGCACAGCTTCAGTATAGCCCACCCACACAAATGAAAATATGAATTCTTCATGCATGAAATGAAAAAAAAAAAAAAAAAAAAAAAATGAATTTCTAAGCTCTAGTGTAGAATTGGATGCCCCTTCGATTAGCGACAATTTTTTTCAAATTTCACCTGCACTGGGTAACAGCGACAGGAAGACTTGGACTTTAGTGTAGAATAGGGTGCCCCTTCGATTGGCGACATTTAAAAAAAAAATTGTGCCGATAAAACCTCACTTCTGGTTACCATGATAGTTTTAACTTTGTTTTAGCTTCCTGATTTTATTTAAATGAAAATAGATTGATGTGTACATGGATAAATTTAAGCCAGTCTGCAATGCCTAGTTTTTGCAATTCTAGGATGTTTTTTTAAGTGAAAACAGATCGATGTGTACATGGACACAGAGTTTGTGTAATTCTTTGACTTCTTATTTTGATTTTGTATAGCGGCCATCTTTAATTGTGCCTTCCTGGCGTCAAAAAAGAATCGCCAAAAAAAAAAAGGGGCACCCAATTGTAAACTTTTACCAATTTCTGTTATGTAGTATTTGAATTATGAAATGATAAAATGAAAACAAAACTGTACTTCTGTGATTACTTTCTAAAGTAACATTCGCAAGTTTTCAGCCTGTGTTACACATTAACATTTATGTGTTCATTAGTGCTATAAAATAAAATGATGAATAATAATTTAAAAAAAAAAAAAAACATCAAATTCTGCTTTCACCTTATTCAAATGTTTATATTCAGTAGAAAATTTAAATAGTTAAAATTAGCATATATCTGAACAAGAAGGCAATAATTATGAAATAATAAATTCCCAAACTCAGTATTTTTTAATTGTTTTGCATTAAAACAATAGTTTTTATGTATTAAAACAATAGTGATCTAATGATCACTAATGACAGTAATTTTGTAGTTGAATTTTTTAAAATTCCTTAAATGTTTTCATGATTTTAAAGAATAAAGAATTGCAACTATAAAAAAATTACCCAGTTCATAAAAAAGAGAATGGAGAAATAAAAAGATCCTTTCACATTTAAATTTTCTTATTTCCACTGCTGTTATCAGCATATCGCATATTTATCTCCATCACATTTTATATTTTCCCTAAAAATTTTTGTAATTGTGGTAAATTCACTTCACGACAAATAACTGAAAAATTCAAGTTTAGCATAAAAACGCTCCTAGTATGGCTCGTAGATAAACAAACAGTAACTGTGTCGCACGAAAATGTTTAACTTTAAATGTCACTTAAATTTAATTCTCGGATTTTCTTCATATTTGATTTTTGTTCCAAGTGAATTATCTAACCAAAGTATATCAATAGGAGTTCATACACTTTGGTTAGATAATTTGATCGAACTTTCCGAATAATTGCCTTCTGAATCTGGCAGAAATCACGCACATTGTTTGGTATCGTCTGCTACCATGAAAATCTCAATGTTTAGGATACACGAAGTTTGAAGCTGGCAAGCTAGGATGCAGTTTTAAAGCACAGTTTATAAAATATGTGCGGTAGAATTGCTTGGTAAGGAAAACTGTTGTGTAATTTATATATATCATTTAGACTTTTATGAATATCGTTTTCGGAAATCTTGTTTTCCTAGTAACATAAGCACGTTAAATTCCTCATTTCTTAATAGTACACTTGACAAGGATTGCATTCAAAGAGCGACTTGTCGATATTCGAAAAATAAGGAAAGTCTAAACTGGATTGAAAAGTATAACTGGCAAAGCTATCAACCAAATTATAATCTCTCTCCTAGCCAGATATCGTAAGTTTTATTTTGTAGAAACTATAATTTCTAGCAATGTGTAATTTTTTATTTGATTATTTTTAATTTTTCACTTGTATTTTAAAATAAGTAAATAAAATAGCTGTTCGAGTTAAAATTCGAAATTTAATCCTATGTTGTTTACTTTTTATTATTCAACATAATTCTAACATTCTAGGATTCATAAATTTTGAAGTTTCATCCATTGTTTTATAAGTACTTACAGAATTTTGAATTATTTAAGGATGTAGAAAAGAAGAATTGTTGCAAATATTATATTAAAATTTATTTTCTATTATATAACCGATATTTTTTCTAACATTTTTATTTGGTTATAGATTTAATAGATTATATGTAATAGTATTATAGATTATATGTAAGGTTTTCTTTCTTATTTTATTTTATTATTATTATTTTTTTGGACTGATCTTTTAAGGGAATCTTTTTCATAACTGAGTCAGAATTAATGACTGCTGAGATTAAATATATAGAATATTTTATCCAAAGATTTTGAGAATACACTGTTATCTTCTTTTCACATTATTATTCTCATTTTTATTTTTTAAAAATAAAAGTATTAAATATACATGGTCTTTAATCTTCCCTGAGAATTTTCTCTTGTGCCTTTCATCTTCCCTGAGAGCAGTCAAAATACACTGGTTATCATTAATTACCAAAAAATCACGAAAATGATGGGTAAAAATATATTTATGGTTGTCCCCATGGCAATTTTTGCCGGTATATAAATACTGAGTTTCTGAAATTCTTTGACTTGTTATATATAAGGATATTTATTTTGGCTTGTGTATCGCTGAATTTTACGTCAAAAATCACCGCTACACAAAGACAAAATAACAAGACAAAGGATTGCACAAACTCGGTATCCATGTTCACATCGACCTATTTTCACTTAAAAAAAATCAGAGAATTGCACAAACTTGGCACTGTACACTCCCTTGACTTTATCCATGTACACGTCAACCTATTTTCACTTAAAAAAATGTCAGAGAATTGCACAAACTAGGCATTGTGCACTCCCTTAACTTTGTCTTTGTACACATTGAACTATATTCACTTAAAAAGTCAAAGGAGCAGCCAACAAAAACATAGAATCTCGGTAAACTACATTTTAAATCAAACAATGAAATAACTTAAAAAAGGAAATTCATTTTTCCACTACAAAGGAAATATCCACTTACCTTATTTACAAATTAATGCATCTTCAGTCAAACAAAATTCCTTAACAGCATCCAAAAACTTACTAAAATTATCTGAATTAGAATCTGTATACTGGAATCACAACATAAATTCACAAAAATAAGAGATAAAAATTTCCTCTGTAACGGCATTATTGTCCAACCATTTGACCATATGCATTTCCTTCCTACTAACAGGACACTTAATAATGGCTACTAAATAAACCTTCATTTACACACCAGTCATTTAATGCTCTTTTCTCCTTTCTTTTCAAATCGTATAGAAACTTCAAATTAGTCTTACCACATTCAGCCATTTTACCATCTAAACCATAAAACAAGCAATGTACGGTTGATCTTTAGATTATGGTAACTCGGCGATTTTTTGGCGAAAATTTGGCGACCAACTCTCCTACAGCAACCCCCTATTTTTTTTTTCCCGCCGCCATTTTGTCTTCACGAAGTAAAGACATATTTTCTTTTCTTTTTATCTACTGAACACTTCTTCCAACAATCTACTAGCCGAATTACACTTATCCTAGAAATTTTATCTAACAAAACTGCTTAATCATGACAAATATTCACTGCAAAATTGGAAAAAGTGCACAATACCATACTCCTTACGCATTTTTCAAAATAACACATACACATAAACCATGTACACGTCGACTTATTTTTACTTAAAAAATCATCCCAGAATTACACAAAAATGGCATTGCGCACACTCTTCACTATATCCATGTACACTGTTTTTTTCTCATAAATTAGAAAAATTTCACAAAAATACATGACAATTTTCTGAATCTTTAAACCCGGTAAAAAGAACATATTTGAAATTACCTGATCGCGAAAAAATATACTTTCCTACAGCCTTTATGAACATTTCCATGTATAAAATAAATAAAATATCCAAAAACTTTTACCTCTAAATTATCTATTATATTATAAACGTCACCAACGAATTCATACCGCAAACATTACAAATACTTAGTGTCAAATATTTAAATTATTTCCGTGCACGTTTACTTCAACTAAAACGTATACCAAATTCCTACAAACATAAAATTCACAAAATAACTATCATTTAATTAAAATATAATTAAATTCAAAAACACTACTTAAATATAAATAAGCACATACATTAAATTAATAAAAATTAGCTTACAATCCTAATTACTTTAAACTAAATCATTGCTAATAACAATTTTCCCAATAATACCAAATTACTTTACTTCCACCTTACATTTAGAACAATGCGTAAAAATAATATCCTCAAATAATTAAAAATACTAACTTACCTAATCTTCTTCAGAATCTTGATTACGTGTCCGATAAACTTTTCTTATTTCCTCCGCTAAACAAAAAGCAAGCGTATGTGCGCCTGTTTCAGGATCTTTAAAATCATACTTATAGTTCACAGCAAGGTACCAGGTAAAATAAATAACTTAATAAAACATCTTTACTTCTGTCTCACACAACCTTAAAGAAACACTTATTACTACCCCTTTCAATCCCACTAAATACCCATTTCGAATTCACTTTAGTTAGGGCCATGGGATCCAAAAATTAACGAACACTGTTTCACACAACACAGAATAAAGCCAAATACAAAATTTCCAGATTTTTTCCCGATTTCCCCCCTTTTCCGATTAAAGAACCGTAATTCATCCATTAATATCACATGACATATCCCATGATCTCTCATTTCCCTCACACAAAATAATGCGTAATCGGAACTGAGTACTGCTCACATTATTACCAAAGTCTCGGGTAGTAACCTTTATTGCCTCCAAAATGTCGCCAAACTACCAGTTACCATATTCTAAAGATCAGCCCAATGTACTTCTTAACAAATACACACCACAAGCCGTTACAAATCTTTTCCCATAATTCAAAATTTGCCGCAATCATGCAACCGATTATGTCACAATAGGGTTTCCATAACATTTAACTACTCGGGTTATAATAAATGAAATAACAACTTCACGATAATACAAAGGGCACCCTTCAATCTACTCTAAACCAAATGTTAATTACTCAAAAAGTTACATGTAGAATTTAATGAAACTGACCTGCAGTACACACAGTAAGGTATAAAATAACATGGAAAAAAAAAAAACTACCAGATAATTATGATTTTATAGAAATTAGCATATGTATGAAATATGTCAGTTTGTATAGGAAAATTGCGTTTAGTATGGAGTATCTTCTCTAGAAGCAATACAGCACATTACAGCAATATGTGATGCTGTCAATTATGCAGTCCGTCAATTCCATACGTAGTGAGAGCCATTGCACTTGCAAATCAGTTGCAAACATGGCAAGGGTCTTAAGACGAAGATTGAGAGCAGCCATATATCTTCCTAAATCATCCCAAACATGCTTCACAGGATTTAGGTCCTGATGATCGAGCTGGCTATTCCATGTGCTGAATTGTTTGCTGTTGAAAATAATCATTCACGATGCGAGCCCTGTGTGGTCTAACATTGTTCTCCTGTAGCATAAAATCATCATCTTGGCATAAGGGTGCAATTAAGCATCAAGGATGTCATCTTTATAAACCTGAACATTCACGGTTTTATGGGGAAAGATATGGAGGTCTGTGGCTTCACCCAGAGAGATACCACCCCAAACACAGATACTGCTTTCTTTATATGCATCTCTTTCACAGATTTTTTACGGATGATAATGGGTTCCAGATTCTCTTCAAAACAAATACAGTCAAAAGTTGTTAATCCGGACTCGTCGGGACTTCGGCAATTCCGGATTATCGGTTTTTCCGGATTATAGATCATCAGTTTAAATCTGGTAAGATGGCATGCAGAAATTATACAATTAAAAATATGAAATCGTAATTTATGAAGTAAAGAACAATTATGATGTAAAGGGTATCAAAATTTACAAAAAACGGCTTAATATTTATTTGTTTACTTTATTAAACATTTCTTTCAATGTACATTGTTTAAGATGCTTCCACAAAAAATTCAAAATGTTCCTTTTCTTGTGTCATATATAGTGGACTTTCCAATGTCGTACTTCTTGCATAATTTCGAGACGGATAGGCCTTTATCCATTTTTTGCAGCAATTCCACTTTTTGTTTAATGGACATCAAAACATGCTTTCACTTTGTAGATCCTTTGGCAGCTCCAGAATCGGAATCTCTTTTTGATGTAATCGAAAGTTCAAGCTTAATTATTATAAAATTGTTCTAACAGTCTCCAAAAAATAATAAGCCAGAGATTAAGAAACAGCGCAATCTGCAGCATTAACTGAAATGCCTTAAATAATTTTAGACTAGCTTATACCATCCGTTATGCATTAAACGCACGTGCGTAAATGCATTATGCGCATGCGTAGACGCATTATGCGTTTACGCGTGCGCATAAGGTTTGTAGCTTTGAGGTCCGGATTATGGACGTCTGGATTACAGACTTTGTACTACTTTGGAGACTAAACCTAGACTCATCCATGAAGAGAGCAGCCCTCCATTGATCAGCTGTGCAGTTGATGTGCCCATCTGTAATGTTACCTTATATGACGTGAGGTGAATGGCATGCAAATGGCTGGTTGGCTCGCATACAGACCTCCTTCATGAAGCCTTCTACTTGCACTTCACATTGATGCCAACCTTCTAGTAGCTGCAGCTAGGGAGGATGTGAGTTAAGATATAGTTGACGTTCTATTCCTTCGGGCTTCTAACATCAAATACTGGTCATCAGCACTTGTAGCGGTTGTCCAATCCTTGGTGAACCTCCTGGATGCCGAATCTGTGGTTAGAAATTGTTGACAAAGTATATGGACCACAGAAGGACTCCCATTTAACCATCTGGTCACTTCTGTTTGACTTTATACAGTCAAGTCGTTAATCCGGACTCGTCGGAACTTCGGCGATTCCGGATTATCGATTTTTCTGGCTTATAGATCATCACTTTAAATCTGGTAAGATGGCATGCAGAAATTATAAAATTTAAAATATGAAACCGTAATTTATGAAATAAAGAACAATTATGATCTAAAGAGTATCAAAATTTACAAAAAAAAAAAAAAAAAAGCTTAATATTTATTTGTTTACTTTATTAAACATTTCTTTCAGTGTAAGTTGTTTAAGTTGCTTCGTTTTTTATGTAATAATACTTTCTCTTTAATTCTATAAACAGACATAATTTCTTGTTCAGTTACAAAGTTCCGCTGTTCGAGTCCTATAATTGCTGTGTCGAGAATAACGACTAATTGTCACTTTCTTCGCTATCGGAAGCGAATTATAATGACGAGCAATTTGATTTAAATCATATCAAAGACGGAGTACATTGAGATGAAATACTACATTTAGTAAGGAATTATAAGCCAAATAAAATAAAAACATCTGCCCTGAAGATAGGGATAGTGCTGACAGATCAGCTTCCAGTTCATTGCGCGCCGCGACGTTCCCCCCCACACACACACACGCAGAGTCGCATGAAATTGATAAACAGATTTCGGAATGGTTAGATAAACAAAGGATATGCCTTAATCCATTTTTTTGCAGCAATTCCACAAGCTACAAACTTTCTGCGCATGCGTCAACGCGATGCATGCGAAGAAAGTTTGTAGCTTTGAGGTCCGGATTATAGATCATTCCGGATTATGGGTGTCCAAATTAATGACTTTTGACTGTATTTATTTGTTTACTTTATTAAACATTTCTTTCAATGTCAGTTGTTTAAGTTGCTTCGTTTTATGTGATAATACTTTCTCTTTAATTCTATAAACAGACATAATTTCTTCGTCACTTACAAAGTTCCGCTGTTCGAGTCCAATAATTGCTGTGTCGAGGATACCGACTAACTTGTCAATCAAAATTTTTTCGTTTTCAATAACCTCTGTGTCGCTTTCTTCACTATCGAAGGCGAATTATAATGACGAGGAATTTGATTTAAATCATATGAAAGACGGAGTACATTGAGATGAAATACTACATTTAGTAAGGAATTATAAGCCAAATAAAAAAAAATCTGCCCTGAAGATAAGGATAGTGCTGACAGATCAACTTCCAATTCAATGTGCACCGCGTCGGCCACTCCCCCCCCCGGCAGAGCATCGTGAAATTGACACTTTTTGTTTAATGGTGTGAAAATTCCACTTTTTGTTTAATGGACTTCAAAACATACTTTTGCTTTGTAGATCCTTTACATATTAGTAAATATATATCAGAAATTCTATTTCACATAATTGAAAGTTCAAGCCTACTTTTATAAAATTGCTCTAACAGTCTGCAAAAATAATAAGCCGGATCCAATTCGAAGATTAAGGAACAACGCAATCTGCAACATTAACTGAATTAGATAATTTTAGCTTAGCTTATACTGTCTGTTATACATTAAACGCGCATGCGTAAAAGTATTATGTGCATGGGCACACGCATATTTGCAGCCATAAAGATCTTCAACTTTCTGCGCATGCGTCAATGCGAGCTTTGAGTTCGTAGCTTTGAGGTCCGGATTATAGATCATTCCGTATTATGAGTGTTTGAATTAATGACGTTTGACTGTATTGCCTTTAGTTTTCTAGTGGCTCTCTATTCCAGTTCTTTAAAATCCAGTATATAATTATGGTTATCCAGTAAAAAATGCGTGGAGATCATTATTATGAATTGGCTATCCCAGATTTCATATCTCAATATTACACTGAAATTTGCAGGCTTGTTCTCAAACATGCAATTTTATACTCCTCGCAAATGGCATGTTCTGATTGCAGCCTTACTAATTCGTATACTGCAGTTTTACTCAGCAATTCTTATTTGAGAACATATTCAAGTTTTATATGGATTGTATATTTCTGAATGTATTATTGCTATTTTTGTGATTTTTTATTATTTTCCATAAACCAGTGTAGTTATGTTGCAACTCATGTTATTGCCAAAAAGTATTTATATGGCAACCCAAGTATGTAAATAGTACAAGTCTGGGTTAATCTATATTTTAGGGTGCCCCTTGGATTATTGCCAAATTGTTTTATTTATGGTAACCTGAGTTGTTGAATGTTATGGAAACCCTATTATGACAGATATGAAAATAGATCAACGTGTAAATGGACATGAAGTTTGTGCAATTCTTTGACTTGTTATTTGGGGTTTGTGGAGCGGCGATTTTTGCCAAAAGGCACTCTTAAATGCATTTTTATCTCAAATTCTTCTCATAATAATGCTATTAAATTATGAGAAATGTATTTGCTGGCAACGTAAAATTACGCCGAGAGGCGGTAGCATTGACTGGTGGGTAAATGAAGGTTTACTTAGTAGTCATTATAAGTGTTCTGTTTGTATGAAGGAAATGTGTATGGTCAAACATAAAGATTGTTCAGATGGCTTTGAATACATTTGTCCCAAGAAAGGTTCATGCAAAAAATGCCACCGACAGTCTGACGCTATAGAGGATATTTTTTACTCTTATTTTTGTGAATTTATGTGGTGACAGCATATTTTATGCATATTTTAGTTCAGATAATTTTAGAAAGATTTTGGATGCTATTAAGGAATTTTGTGTGCCACAGACAGAAGACAGAGAAATTTTTAAATATGGTAAGTCGATATTTCCTTTTTGTAGTACATATGTACGAACACAAAAATTTTCTTTTTTTGTTATTTCATTGTCTGATTTTAAATGCAGTTTATTGTAAGCTTTGATTGGCTACAAATTTTGTTCAATTTTGGTGATGAGTAACTTTGTTTTAACATTATATAACGTCATCATGCTCCTGTTTTTTTTTTAAGTGAAAATAGATCAATGTGTACACGGACAGCGAGTTTATGCAATTCTTTGACTTGATGTTTTGGTTTTGTATAGAGGCCATCTTGAAATTGTGCCTTGCTAGCCAATCGCCAATTTTTGCCAAGGGGCACCCTGAAATGTATTTTTAGTTATGTCTGTTTTAGCTGGTACATTATGTTGAATTTGTGAAATTTGCTATATATTTTTTTTTAAACATAGTTAAAAATATATTTGTGAAGAATTTCTAAAAAAAAGGCAAGTAGTATTTTATTAGTGATGTTTCTTGCTTTTTAAACATTTCTTGTATGGAATTCTTAGTGTACTGCCATTCTGGAAATAGCTGTTGCATTTCATGCAGTAGCTTTATGAAAAATTTGTCATCAATGATTTTTTGCCTTTTTGACTTGGGTTCTGATAATTAGAAAATACCCCTCCAAAAAAATGTTTCTCGCATGTTTGTAGTCCAAAATAAGCATAATTTTTGTTGGAAAGTTTTTTTCTTTTTGGAACAGTCTTATTTGTTTTGCAGTGCAGTGCTTTTCTTTTCTTGCAGTTTTAAAAATCTGCAAAAACTTAAGTGTCTTGGTTCTTATTTGTCCTGTTACCATCAAAGATAAAAAAGAATTTATTCGGAAATTCATGGATTACAAGATTGTTATATGTTTTTAATTAAATGCAATCCTCAATAATATAACACAAATCTTTTGTCCTGTTTTTTTAAATAAACCTGCGTTCATGAGAAGTTTTTCCCCCTAGAAGTGTAAATGGTATGAAGTATTAAAAAATAAATAAATATTTAAGAATTAATTGTATTGTTATACCAAATTATAACCATGACTCTTCTGTATTTTTTTTTTTTTTTTTTTTTTTCTTAAAACATCAGAAAATATGGGAATTCACAAAAACAACAGTTTTTATGGATGGGTAGAGGGAAAGACAAAATTCTGAAATTTTAGCTTAAAGTAATACTACAGGGTGCTATTGAACACAGAATAAATTATTAGTATGTCCTATATTAATATGTTTTAATGTGTAATACCAAACTAAGGTTTTTAATTATTTTAGAAAAGATTTTTTATTAATTCATTTTTATATGTACTGTTTCAAACAGTCTGCTTCAACTGTTTTTCATTAGATTCTTTCAGAAATAAGAGATGCTAAATTTATCAACTTATTGCAATCATTTCATCTCATGTAATATATTTTTAGTCTTAATAGTTTTTGAAGATACAGATGTAAAAAAACCATTGTTATTTTATTAACAATATAAAAATTGTAAACCTTGTTTATTCTCTGTCTAAATCAGTTTCATTTTCTAGTCCTGTTCTGGTAGCTGATTATCTAATTTCTGCACAAGATAATTCTGATTACAATCATGTTATTACACCAATGCGTTGGGGTTTTATTCCATCGTGGTACAAAGGATCATATGAAGAATTTTCCCTGAAAACGAACAACTGCCGAATAGAAGGCATTTTGGAGAAACCTACCTACAGAGGATCAGCCGTAGCTGGTCGTCGATGCGTCATTCTTGCCGATGGGTTAGTTTTGGTTGCTAATGCCTTTTGAGTTTTTTTTATAGATTTTAATTGTAATTTCAAATTATACACCATTAATAAAATTTATTTTAGTCTTTCTATAAACTATGTAATTTGGGTACTACTATTCCATTTTGAGGACCATAAAAATCGCTATACTACTGTTGATGCCAGTGCTGCTAAAAATAATTGTGGCAACCCTAACGCAAGAAAGGAAGTATAATAGAAAATAAGTAGCAAAGATTTTATTGTTTTAATTTAGATGAAAGGTTAATTTCATATAATACTTTTTTATTATAAAAATTTATATAAAAAAGGCTAAACATAGCTGAATGTATTCCCTCATTGCTATTTCGCTACTAAGTTATCGCTAAAGCATAATTTCATCTCGTTGGTTGTCCAAACATAATTTTCTATAATGAATGATGCCTTTTCTTTGAAAAAATTCTATTGCAGATTTTTCGTCATGGGCAATTTGCAAATTGTTAAATCCATAAGTTATCAAAAAAAGATTTAAAAATTAAACTAGTATTTCAATGGCATCTTAAGAAATATAGAACTATCTAAACTTGTGCAATTTGAAATCAGTGCGTACGCTAGATTTGGCACGCTGTTGTATGGACGCGTTTGCTAGATTTGGCGATTTTGCGCATACATTTTTGCTGCAATTTTTCACGGCCCTCAAAACGGAATAGTACCATAATTTGCAACTCTTCCTTTTAAAAATTATATAAATAATTATCTCTGTATATATAGTTTCAGTTTTTCCACTATTAATTTGAAACCTTTAGTTAAAATAATGTTTTATCTACTTATGTATATTTATTCATAGGTAAGTGTATATGTATATAACGTTTTCATTGTGTGCAAATATTTATAAGGGCATAAATACAATTTGGTACTTACAGAATAGGAGAACAGATTGGTTCTAGTTGGCACTGTTTGAAAACATGCATTTAAATTCACATCATCTGAAGACATATAGTATAATTTATGATTTAAAATAACAAAATAAGGTGAATTTAAATTAATTTAATTTTGATCAATTTACACTCTAATAAACAATTAAATGTTTTTATATACTGTAGTTATTACTTATAAATGTTCTCATATACTGTTGTTTTATTTTTGCACAATTTTTGGTTGCCAAAAATATACTACTGCAGGTAAAATTACTTCAAATTGTAGTTTCTCCAAATTGTGAGTTTCAAATCCATGTACTGATGTACAGTGTCTCATTTGTGTTTGTTTCTCTATTTCACTGATCTTCAAAGTCATTCAATCTTTTGAATATGAGCATCATTATCTGTTTCTGTGAAATTATAATTGGGTTTACCATAATTGGAGAAAACTTATGGCTCCTATGCCCTTAGATTTCTGTCTGCTCCAGCAATCTGAGTATATGATGCTACTCAATTAAAATATTGCTCATTTGTTTCCATGAATGGTTTGTCGTCTTTGTTTAGAGGGCTACATAAGTACGCATTTCTTATTTTCCTTGAAAATATCATTGAAAATCTACTGTTATGGAAAATTTCGCCCAGCATTATTTTTTGAGGAGGTTAAGATATCAGTTCTTTGAATTTAGAACACATGACCAAGATACGCACATCACTGAAGTGACTATTCCAGTAGAATGAGGTTCATCAGCTATGTCTACTTGTATTCCACAGCATTTAATAAATGTAAGCATTTCAGTCCACGGTAGAAAATGTATTAGCCATAAGAAAGAGAATACAAGAGCCCTCTAATGAGGTCATAATTATACATTTGGTGTTCATTTTATAAAATCCAAATGCAAAAGTAGGCATTTTTGCATTTAGATTTTATACTCTGCAGTTTGCCTAACTAATAGCTAACTGCTTGTACATCCAGCTACCTGAAATAAAAGTTTCAAAGAAAAGTTTTTAAAGAAAGTTATGAAAGAAAAAAAAATGTATATATAATTATGTTATTTAATCCAGCTAGTATACTTTCACCAGTCCAGCTCGTTGTTGGTAATGACAGAAATAAATAATTGTGTATATTGATTTTGAATCATATAATCATATTGATTTTGAATCGTATAACCCATAACAGTTTATTAATCACTAATACACAGATTAAATTTGAGAGAAAAATGTTTTATGTTTAGCTGAATAGTGCATTGAAGATAAAATTATTTTACAAGGAGTGCTCATTAAGTAACCAGACAATATCGTATTGTTGGGTTTTTCTCTTTTCTTCTGACACCAGTTGTTACGTTATTTTCTTCCTTTACATTCGTATGGGGTTCGTAGGTTTGGAGTGAATAACGATGACACTTGATGAAGTATCGAAACACACTTTATTTGCCAATATTGTCAGGACAGCTCCAAAACACGTTTTACAGTCATTGATGAACTACTATAAACACGCTGACATGATCAGCGACACAGTCTTCAGGTTATCAGGCTGTCACAATGGAGACAGCTTCCTGCAAAGCACCTGACTCTGCTTTCTGGAATACAGCTCCCGACTCAGCTTGGTCGTTCTCGGAACTCCACGTACTCTCGAGACTCTCAACGCTACAACTCGTGATGCACTCAATGACACACGAGCACAGCTCCCGATTCTTCGGTTCAGTCGTTCCCGGAGCTCAACACGCTCTCTTGACGATGCACTAACCGTGATACACTAACAGACTCCTTTGGTGCACTCGATGACCCACTCGGCACTCGCTGCCCGGCTGTCAGCTCGATCGACTCTGCAGGGATTGACTCGCTAGACAAGGCACTATCTCACACTCTAGATGAGGCACACATACACTGTGGACCAGCAGGGTTTATATAGCTTTCGGCTTGTGTTCGAGAACATTCTAGGCTAAACCGGTAAGAATTCGTTCCAGAAGGTTCTCCATTCATCCATGGCATGTCGCCAACTGTCACCAAATGGTCGATTTTGCACCAAATGTGGCAACCCTGCCTTCCCTTGTCATTTTATGTCAACCCTAAAACTGCTTTGCGGGGAAGCCATCTTACCATGCCTGTACATTTCGTAACAATATCTTATTAAATAAGAAAAATATTACTAAACTTCAAATAAATTTATCTCCTTCAAAATAATCACTAGAGTAGTCCACAATTTTTCTAACATTTCTTCAGGTCATCGAAGCACTGTTTATAGACATTGAAACTAACTGTTCACAAAATACATGTAACATTTGATTTAATATCTGAGACGTTTTCAAATCTTTGTCGTTTCATGGTCATCTTAAGCTTCAGAAAAAGAGAAAATCAACTGGTGGTAAGTCAAGAGAATATAATGGGTGATTTATCATTGTATTTGCTTGGCAAGATATTGTACAGGGCCTAAAGAAAGAAACTACTGCTTTAAAAGAAACTACTGCCCAGAATGAAAAGGTTCCTTCGTAACTCACCTTATCATGTTTCTTATTTGAAAAAGGCTCCTCTTTGTAAAAATACTGATTAATTGATTGGTTTGCTGGAACAAACTCATGCTAAATAAGTCCTTTGTAATAAAAAAAATGCAATCAGTATCATCTTAGTTTTCAGTTTTGACATCCTTTTTTCTAAAAAAAGGGGGGGATTGTCTTTTCCACTATGCACTTTGTCTCTTAATTTCTCGGCCACATTGTCAACACCAAGTCTCATCTTCCATTATGATACACTTTCAGAAATTATAATTCTGTCTTGCAATAGTCAGAAAAATCTTCTCAGCAAGTTTTTCTGTTTTCTTTCTCTGTTCTCAGCAAGCTTTTCTGTTTCTTTTATATTCTGCAGAATCTGAGGTACAAATTAAGCACAAACTTTCCTCATTTTCAGATTTTCAATTAAAATTAACCTACTCTCTCTTTGATTATCCCAAGCATCTCCAAAAGTTGCTGACACATCTATCAGCTTTCACTGAAGAACAAATTTTCATCACATTTAATTCATTCTCTGAAATTGAAGAGCACCCTATCTTTGGTTCATTTTCAAAGCTTTCATGTTCACATTTAGAGTGGTTGTACCACTCATCCATTTGTGTTCTTGACAATGATGTATCATCACATGCTGTTCGAATCATCTCTAACATTTTGGGAGCAGATTTGGCCAATTTTTAACAAAATGTAATGTTATAACGTTGTTCCATCTCGAAGCATTTTTTTTTTTTTTTTTTTTTTTTACGTCTTCTCGCTAAATCAAAATGACTGTGGCATTTTGATATGCAGATGACAAAATAACTATTTTAAACTGTCTTTAACAAGAGTTGAAATGTCCCTCTTTCAAAACATATATATATACAGTCAAAAGTCGTTAATCCGGACTCGTCGGGACTTCGGCGATTCCGGATTATCGATTTTTTCGGATTATAGATCCTCAGTTTAAATCTCGTAAGATGGCATGCAGAAATTCTAAAATTAAAAATATGAAACCGTATAATTTATGAAATCAAGAACAATTATGATCTAAAGGGTATCAAATTTGCAAAAAGAAAAAGCTTAATATTTATTTGTTTACTTTATTAACATTTCTTTCAATGTAAGTTGTTTAAGTTTTGCTTCGTTTCATGTGATAATACTTTCTCTTTAATTCTATTAAACAGACATAATTTCTTGTTCGTTACAAGTTCCGCCGTTCAAGTCCTATAATTGCTTGTGTCAAGAACACCGACTAATTTGTCAATCGAAATTTTTTTGTTTTCAATAACCTCTGTCACATTTCTTCGCTATCGGAAGCGAATTATATAATGACGAGGAACTTGTTTTTAAATCATATCAAAGACGGAGCATATCGAGATGAAAATACTACATTTGGTAAGGAATTAAAGCCAAATAAAATAAAAACATCTGCGCTGAAGATAAGGATAGGGCTGATAAATCAACTTCCAATTCATTACGCGCCGCCGCCGAGCAGCGTGAAATTGATAAACAGATTTCGGATTTCAAAACATACTTTCGCTTTAGATCCTTTACATATTAACAAATATATATCGGAAATTCTATTTGATATAATCGAAAGTTTAAGCTTACCTTTATAAAATTGCTCTTACAGTCTGCAAAAAATAATAAGCCGGATGCAATTCGAAAATTAAGGAACAACGCAATCATCAACATTAACTGAAATAGATAATAGATAATTTTAGCTTTACGGTCCATTATACATAAAATGCGCACACTAAAACGTATTCTGCACTTGTGCACACTCATATGCGCAGTCGTAAAAGGTCTTACGCGCACGTGTGAACGCCTCTGCGCATGTGTCAACGCGGCGCATGCACAGAAAGTTTTTAGTTTTGATGTCCGGATTATAGATCATTCCGAATTATGGGTGTCCGAATTAACGACTTTTGACTGTATATGCATTTCTAAAAGATACTTTTTTATTTTATCATTTGGTATTTTAGTTTGTTCAGTTACTTTATGGGTTTGCCTTGTATTTAGATCAATGGCAATATATTTCTTTTAAATAGCTGAATTTTCTGCTTAAATCTGAGACATAAATATCCTATGCTTTGCTGATTGGTAATACATTTCTTTTTAATCATGAGTTTTCTGATTAAACTTGAAATGTATACTTTCTTTATATACTTTAGTTTATTCTTTCTTTAGTTGCAAAAGATTGTTTTTAAATTGTCAAGTTTGTTAATCAAAATTTGTTTTTATATTGTCAAGTTTGTTAATGAAAATTTGGTTTTAAACTTTAAGTTAATAAGTTTGTTAATCAAAATGTCATTAAATTCACATAAAATATGAATTCAATAAAAAAATTTTAAATTTGAGCTTCAAGAGGCTCATGGGTGGATGAAGGACTTTCTATCTTTAAAATTTGATGGCTCTATATGCTGTCATATTTCCACTATGCAAGGAACTTGTATACATGTAGAATCTTCATTATTTGATAACAAAGATAGGGTGTGTATGTCTTACACAATCCAATCTTTTAAAGATTATTCCACCTATATTTTCATTACATCCACAACATTTGTAAATGGGCAAAGATAGATAATTATGAATTCTTTTACTAGGATATCCCATTTTCCCAGATTTATTCTGCACTCATTATCATTGTATCATAATCAGCCATCCCTCAATAGAGGAAGAAGTTGAATGCATAGCAATTTTTGTTGTTTCATTTAAAATGGATATAAAATTGGAAAAGAATAAAGTTCTGTTAATCAAATTAATTTGCTAATATTTCTAAGGAGAATTTATTAAAAAAAATTTTTAAATTTGTAATAGCTTTTTTTCTCCCAATTACTGCTCAAAGAAAACTGATTTTTAAAGTTATTTATCTCAACAAAACAATGTGTTGTTATTTATGAAAGAAAAGCACATGGACACTAAATTGAGGGGTGATTTCTTTTGATGTTAAATTATTTTGAACTAATGTTCCAATTCAAGGAGTGCAAATAATAATGGTTTTCAGAATTTCTTTTAAATTACTTGATGCAAGGAACCAAATAAATAAATAAATAATGTAAATTTAAAATTAAAATTAAATTGCTTGGAATTAAAATTAAATTGCTTAATTATTGAATGACATAGAAACAACTGGATTTATGAATTTGAAATACAAATAACATTAATGAAGGCGTGAAACTAGATATGGAATTTTCCAAATAATAAAAAGAACATAATAAAAAATTATTTATACCATCACAGCAGTAATGCTTTCATTCAGTTCTTGAGCCATAAAACAGAAGCCATAAAAAGAAAATTTTAATGAAATTATATTTTGTGGGTTATGGTTAATGAAGGTATGACTTAGTCGCTTTAAAGAACATATTAAAAATAATAAATGTCATGTAGTAGAGTTAATATGATCTTCAATAATGAATGTTATATGATAACAATTTAAAAATTAAATTTAATATGCTATTTAAATAAACTGTAAATTATTATTACTATGTTATTGATAAATATATATTAATAATTCAAATTCAAGATTTTCAGAATGTGAAAGAATTACATGTAAGCAATACACACTTTTATTCTTCCCCCTTAATTAAATTGTAATTTCTTAAATTTTTCCAGATACAATAAATTGTATTTCTTTTTCATAAAAATTATTTTTTAGATTGAAAGATTATAAATATAAAATTTCAAGTATAAGAAAATGTTAATAAAAAGACAAGTAAAGAAGTTAATAAAAAGACAAGATGGTTTATGATTGAAGTGAAAAAACATACTTGGAATTGATTGCATCAATTCATGCTATATTTTTTCCATGAATTGTTTTAATGTACTTCCATGATTTTTCTTATTTGATGATTTCTTTTTAACTTCATCACTTTTCAATTAGATTTTATGAATGGAAAGTTGTTAGCAATAAGCAGAAAAAACCCTATTTTATTTACTTTCCTCAAGAAGATGGTCCTGATGTATTCTGCAGGGAAAATGACTCTTCATCTGAAAGCAAAGAATGGAAAGGACCTCATCTTCTGACAATGGCAGGCCTTTTTGACATATGGAGAACTTCAGAAGTATGGTTTTCAGACTTTTTTAAGTTAACCATTTTAAAGCTGTTTCTCTTTAGCAGCAAACGAATTTTATATGAAAAGAATTATGATTTTAAGAGAATTATGATTGCTAGAATAGTTTTAATTTTAATTTTCTAAATTAATACTATTTCAGCAGAATTACTATTTTTATTGTTCGTTGCAACATAAATGTAATAACCAGTAAAATCCAAATTTGATGTAATTGGGATTGAGCCTTTTTAATAATATCTGTATCAAGCAATGGCAGATTATTAATACAGTACAAAAGTCCGAGATTCAAGACTTCATCGATTTCAGATTTTGGAAATTTCCAGGATTTTTACATTATCTGTTTTAATCTAGTAAAATAATATGTAGAAATTATAAAATTAAAAATATAAAATATTTTTTATGAAATAATGAAGCATTTATGACTGTAAGCAGGCATGGGTAAATGCTTTTAATCACAGCCAAAAAGATTATTTTTAGTGCATTATGTGGGCAGGGCCATTGAAAGATACAATAATGCTTGTGTGAGGATGTTTTGCGGTCCCCTATAGTTTACCATGTCACGCTACATGGGGAACTACTTTCCCTCAGTAGAAATGTTTAAAAAAAATTGCAATTTAAAATATGTTTTATCCACTTAGTTTTAGATATTTGAATTTAGCCTCTTAACTGCCGTGGAAAACATACAAGATTCATTTCCCAGTGCCACGGTTTTTCACACCACGCGTAGTTATGCGATGTATTAGGGTGAAAATAAGTGCAAGTTTTACTTTCTAAAAACTGTTTACTTTCACAAAATTAAGATTAAAAGAAAAAATGAATGCACAAAATTTAATATTTTGAGTAAAAGTATAATAAAAATGATGTTTTTATACTAGAAAAGATCCCTAAAATGGAGTTTCGATCAATTCATTTTTTAGACCAGTAAAGTGTAACATCAGGTTTCAGTGTTATACCTTGTGAAATCAGTATGCCTAAAAAAACACATATTTCTTCTGAACTGGTTGAATGCTACGATTTTGTTCTTAATTTTTCGTTTGCAAGGTGTTGGTTCATATACTCGTCTACAAAACGGTTAGTTTCAGTAACAATATGAAGTATGAGCAGTTCATCAAAAAATAATTCAAAAAAGATAAATGGGTTTGAAACATATGTTATATCATTCTTTATTCTTGGAACCTACTACAAAAAGTAAACGAAAACAGAGTACACAGAATTAAAAAAAAAGTACGTTTTACTCAAACAACTCCAGCCAATACCGTGCAGTGATTACTTTCACGGCACTCATCCCCCTCTCCAATTCTCCCCCTCTTTGAAATAGTATCCTCCTTCGTATACTTTGTCAAGGTCATTGTGGTGTTGCATTCCAAAGCTTTGCGAATAATTTTACGGGTTGCAGCGCAAAGTAAATGATAGTATTTTGGAAGGGCATATATATACGCCCGTGGCAGTTAACGCATTGGCTGAGCAAGGCATATATATGTAATGATTTCAAAAGTGTAGATGAAAGCAGTGGACCTCCCAACAGCTTACGATACTGCGTAGATGACGAGAAGACTGTAGTGGCTTTAAGATGAGGTGGCAGAGTGGAAAGCATGATGACACAATTCGCACAACATATCTTGAAAAATACAATCTTTATTTTTCCATGCATAAAATAATCCTTTTTCAGACAAGATTTCTAATTATATTTGAATAGAATAACTCACATTTTTAAGTTGACGTCATCTTAAGACAAGTAAGCAGCAGCATGGTTTAAGAGCGTCTTGCAGCAGGAAAAGCTATGCGGTAAAAAGGGCAAGGTTATAGTACTTTCATAGCAAGAAGGCTGAAGTTCAGTTCACAGTTTGGTTTAGAATTAATTTGATTGGCGAGAGGCATCTGCATTAAAACTACATAAGATAGAAAAGTCTGGAACCTGTGAGAAGAGATGAATTTAGGGGAGATTACAAATTTAGAATGTTAATTTTGAGGTCGGTCAATTATTTTTTTGAAACAGCTTATATTTTGTTATATCTTACATATCCCCCCCTTCAAAGAAAATTGGGTGCGGGTGGAAGAACAAGCATTAGAGCAGCAAAATGTGAAAGATATAATTTTGAAAATACAAACATATTAACTTTTAAACAAAATTATGTCATAAATTTTGACCGATATTTTGAATCAATTTTGACATTTAACTGAATGTTATAGAAATTTGAATTCAATAATAATTTAGACACTGTACTCTTTAAAACAGTTGCACATTTTAGTGTTCTGATAAGAATGTCAATGAAATTTTTAAAGTTTGAGAGTTCCACATGGTAAAAGTTCAAATTTTTTCACAAACTAAATGTTCAAATAAAATCTTTCAAATTTTGGTGATGAAAATATTCTATTATACTACAAATTAAGATGCCAATTTTCATATTATTATGTTTTTCAAGGAAGGCTTTTAAAAATAAAATCTTGTAACACATCATCATAACCGCAACAAATTTTAAACTTTTCACTATTATTAAGACATTTTAAAATTAATTATCTTTACAACTTAAGACTCCACAATTATCTAAATACTAGCATTTCCATCAATTGGTTTATCAGTGAGCAAACGGTGTTTAATATTCTTCACCAGTGGCCAAAATTTGCCAATAGCAGTTCGTAGTAGAAAAGGCCTCCGTTGCTTCTGTGAGGCAACTGGCCTTTTTCGAACTGCTGTCATCCATATGAATATTAAAAAACACTCCATTAATGAAAAAAAAAAATACCTAGTTGAAAAAACGTATTTTTTCATAAGTGAGAGCTTCAACGTTTATCATAAAAAATTAAAGAAATTCCTAGAATTTAAAATTTTCAAACAATAATCATTCTTAAA